TTTGGGGGGGGGGGGGAGGTCGTATAAAAAACTGGGCGGACGTACTACTTGTTGTTGTTGTTGTTGTTGTTGTTTTTGTTGTTGTTGTTGTTGTTGTTGTTGTCTTCACATTAAACTCGTGTCAGTTGCTAATCCCAAAATCTAGCGAGGACGCGGTTCGTGGTCACAAAAATGCTTGAGCCATCAGAAGATCCAAAGAACACGCAAACTAGCAAGAAAAGGGTACACAAGCCCGAAGAGGTCCACCTACATCCCTGCAGAACGTTTGCGTGCCCAAAAACTGAACTACCCGTCCACACACTACATTCGACTACAGCAGCATCACCCCCCCCGTCCTATTTGTACACTTCACCAAAATGAATGTCGACTACAGCGTACAGCTGTCTGGAGTGCTGCCTGTACAATAACACCATGGTAGGCATGGTACAAGTTCGGGGCGCGCAACTGTTGTCTGAAGTGCTGTCAGAATGCGTCCGTGGACATACAGTGAAAAAGAACAACCAACCAAAGCCATCTTTGCAATTGATAATCACCGAATCTACCCCTGATCATCTGTGTTGGACACAGTAGTGCAAATAATCGACACTGATTAGGAATCGTTCCACATTGAAGGGTCTTCCACGATGCAGGTACACAATAAAGGCACCCGGGCTATCCGCGCCATCTCTGCCGCGTCTCTCTACAAAACCAGTGACGTCATCACATACACACCAATATTCAGGGAAAAAAACGGAAAATATTTGACAACACAAAATGGTCGTCCGTGCGTCACGGTTCGATATCGTCCGTGTGCTCCGGCGCCGCTGCTCCGGCGCCGCTGCTCCGGTGTCGCTGCGGCCAGTCCTAGCACGACCAAAATCGACCTGCTCCGTCCGTACACGCTCTCGTTGCTGTCAATCCCAGTCGGTTCCTCGCTTTCTCCGTCGTTGCACTTAGGGTTCTTGGTCTGAAAATTCTCGCGCCGAAGGGTCAACCACAGCCCACTCAGCTCGTCACCACCTGTTCCCTCCTCCCGTTTGATGGCGAAGCCAGGTTACTGAGACAGTACAGCTCCCTTTAGCAAACCTAGGTCCGTGTACATAGTGCCCGTCCACCTTTCTGATGGCGTCTGCCTCCGCGCACAAAACTGAGATGGACATTACTGTCTACACCGACGGCCATTAGGCCCGCGCATCTGCATTTTTGTACCTGACGCACCAGTGCCGACCCAACTCTACCACTACGCACGCCTTGCGGCGGGTGCGCCGCAGCAAGAAGGTATCGGTCCCTTGAGGGTGAGTCTAGCCATGCTCGCTAGAAAGACCCCCCCCCCTCGTTTTGGGCCATGCCTAAGCAAAAGCCTTGCCGAGGCAGCGAGGGGAAGAGGGAAGTATTACTGCTCAGCTGTGAATACTACCAACTGTTAGGTATTTGGTGACCAGGGGGGGAGTGCTGATCGGCTGTGCTAAGCTAGGTATTTTGGTGACCTGCTGCTTGGCTCTACCCTACGTAGTCAGCAAGCGGCGTGTGCCGAGGGGCGGTAGCCACCCGTGGGTGACCGTCTTGTGCCGGCGCAACTCAGGCCCCATCAGATCAGCAGCGTTCGCGGGGATGTTCAGCTTGGTTTTTTGAACAGGGGGTACGGGGTTAGGTTTAAGGATAAGGATAGGGGTGCGAACCCCCCATCTCTATTTCATAGACTAACAATACAATGCTCCCGAAGGCGATCCCATCAGATACGCAGCATTCCCCGTAGTCTCATGCACATGTTTCGTTTTTACACCACGTGGATAATAGTAACATGTAGTCTGCAGATCCCCGATCATTGTCGGTCGGGCACCCCACGCGTTTTCACAATATTCAAGAGTGCCCTCCGGGGCGGGCTCGTGAAAGCACAGCAGTGTCAAGGGGTGGTGGGTGCAATATCGGAAAGGAAGCTAGCAAAGCTGACTGCCAGCCGAGAACGCCTCCCAAGCTCGAACATCACCCACACAGCTGACATGCTTAGACGCGAAGAGCACAGTGAACCAGACCAAACCTAAAAGGAAGAGCAAACCTTTATTGTTCAGTCTGATGTGGTGGCAGTCAATTTCGGATGGGATCGGGGAGAAGAAGTCGTGGGTTGCTCCTAGGTCTTGACGAGGACCGCCCGGGCACCGCCGCTGGCTCTGGCAATGAGACAGGTAGCGCTTCAGTTGGTGTATTCCTCCCGCGACTTTACCGGACACGTGCAATCCACTCTGCCCCACCGCCCACCATGGTCTTGTTTTTCATGTGCTCGAAAATCCCAGAGACGTGCAACCGGAGGGGGATGCTCGACTGTCGTGGATCGAGGCGTACCTGGATCGAAACCCCAAGACCGCCATCCTCGATCCGATCGACAGAGTTTCAAACTGCATCAATCGGGTCACTACCCTCAAGGCATGTCTTTTTGTTTGTGACCGGGGGTTGGATGACGATGCCATGGAGGCGTTTTCGGGGGGCCGACTGGGGGGGAATCGGAGACGTTATTTAGTGATGCATGCTTGCACACCCAGCCAGAGAGAGGGAGAGAGAGAGAGAGTCTGGATAGTCAAGTTCTCGGCGAGCCAAATCACTATGTTCATGTTGGAAAGGCGGTACAAAGGCAAGCACAGCAGTGGGTTTTGAACCTACTGTAGTGCGTTCGCCCTGGCTGTCTTACGGTAGGGTCACTCACCCCCGAGGGCAAACATCAATCGCAAAAGTGGACCACAGCTTTTCCAGGGAACGTGGGAAGGCTTCTGCCCCCCCCCTGACTCATGCGCCCGTTTGAACGAGTGTGTTGCACCCCGTTGTTGGTTTGTCGTTGTTCCTACACGAACGCCGCTCTTGCGTGCACAGCCGTAGTTTCCAGCGCCAGCTGGGTCTCTTTGATGGAACGACAAGAGTAACACTTTCTGTCGCGCCCTCTGATTGGCCACCGATCGGGTGACATACACGAGCAACAACGGCGCACACACGGCTTCCGCCAAGTCCTGCTATTAGTCGTATCACCTATAGCTTACCGATGTTCGCGAGTTCATCCCCGTGTCAACACTCAATAAAAGCGCCCGACTGCTGTCGGTGCTGTCTCCGTTAGGTGTAAGGACGATTGCTTCGATTTGAACGAGACGCCTGGTCAGTGGTTGGTATAGCAGCTGAAGCACCACATGAGTCCCTTCCCCCCCCCTGCATACGGCGGAAAGTTGAGCTTCCCTCCTGCATGCCTGAGAGGCTCAACCTCGAAAAGGAGGCCGCCTTTCATGACCAAAAGGACTCATTGGTGTGCACCGATGATACCGCGTCCCCCCCCCCCCTCCTTCTACAGCTGACATTGCGCACCCAATCTCCACCCCCTCCTGTTCCAGCTTCTCGAAGACGCGTATCGACGGCACGGGGCCGCCGGGGGCATGCCCCGCCCTCCCCGCTTCATGGTTCTCGAAGATCACGAGCCTTCAGGCCCGGGGGCTGATGGTGGGATCGTTCCCAGGAACGGTCTCGCCTTTCCCGTGATCTGCAAACCCGTCGAGGCTTGCGGTAAGCCAGTCGCCGTCTCGTTTTGGTGTGATTCGAAAAAATCCAGAAATCATCTTGTTGTTGCCAAGCCGAAAAGCAATCCCCGAAAAAGATGGAGTACCTATCCGAGGACACGGCGGGTGCTCTGCAGATGCGCGTCGGTATCGATAAAAGTGCTGAGCTATATATATACCAGTCAAACCAGCCGCTGACTTACCGCTCAGCGACGTAGCGCTGGCTGTTCATGTAACGCCGGCGGTGTGTGAGAGTATAGCAGGCAGGCCGGTAGGTATCGGCGCACGGGATCGCTTCTTCGGTCGGGTCGCAGATCTGCGTTCACGATCAATTTGCAGAGCCCCTTCTTTGGATAGATACCCTCGGCTTGGTCGCACACACGTCGCCCCCGTCTCCAGGCGTTCTTGAAGCTATGTCTCTTGATAATGTCGAGGAGAGTTGAGCTTAAGGAGACTAGCCGCAGTGCTACCGTTTTCCCTGGCCGTTGGTTCGAGCCTGAGCGCTCTCGAGGCGTTTGCGCTCAGGCTCGATGCGAGAGTCAACGTACCTAAACATTGTTGTGGTGGCATATTCCTTCTTTTTGGTCATCTTGCATCATCACCCCTCCATGACACTGTGCCCTCATGAGCCCACTCCGGAGGAATCACTCTGTTGGCTTTTCACAACGTCAGGGTTAGGGCTATAGAGCAGACTCGTCCTCTCAGAATATCTTGCTCATTCGCGCGATCGGTTTCGTCCGCCTCGGCCCCCCTCGGCCCCCCTCGCCCCCAGCTGTCGAACCACAGCACCGTCGTCTTGACCGACTTGCCTCTCCCGGCGGAAGTGGCATATGATACTAATATGTGCCCGCGTTGTTGTTGTTGTTTTGTTGTTGTTGTTTTTTGCTTGATCCTGCGATGATTTTATTTTGCAGGGACACGAGGGTCGCACACGATGGTGGTCGTTCTCGACCAAGCGGGCGTGTCCGCGCTCACGCCCCCGGTCGTGGTGCAAGAGTGCAGGAGCCACGGCGCCAAGCTCTTCAAGGTGAGGCTCGCCCTCGCCTCCCAAGATCCCCGCTCGCTCCTACATAGGCATGGAAGACCACGTTTAAAACTTGGTCGCTTTTTTTGTTCAGGCGGTGTGTTGTAGTTCTCCTGTGCTTGTGTTTTTTTCTTTTGTGAAGCTGTAGACGCGTGTGTTCTCAACCAGAGGCCTCGCGATACATTTTACGTTGGAGCATGGTGTGTCCAACGGATCTATTCTGTCACGCAAATCTGGTTTGTTTCCGTGGCCGGACCGGCTGGTCCCTGATCCCGCCGACTACACACGTGCCCGCACGTTGTCTGCTATTGTGTTGCTGCGAGACACACATGTCGTGCGTGACGAAGAGAGATAAGAGAGAGGTCTTATGTCTCTGTAGATCCGCACTGGAACAGAGATCGCTGAGCTCCAGCAACAGCTGAGCCTATGAAAAATTATTATTGTAGGCCTATTTTCTACCACGCGCCGCCTTCGCCGTTGGTGCACGGGAGGCGGGCACTTCTCCCACAGCCTACCCCTTCCCCCCCCCCCTCTTAAAGGTGTGTGTTATTGGAGACGAAGTCCGTGTGCACGAGAGGCCTTCTTTGCCAGACCTTCCTCCCGGACTGACGGGCTCTTTCGCGTTCGACAGCCAGAAACCTTACCCAGCACTAGAAGAGGTGAGTCTCGCTGAAAAAAACTGTTCCGTCGGACACAATCTACGCGTGCATGTTAACCTCCGACGTTGGCTGTTGTGCTGTCCGACGGGCGTTGTTTTTCTCGGGGTCATCATGATCCAATTCGCGAGTTGAGATGTGTCTTGTCCGCGGGGCCCCTCACCCTGGGAAGAAACAGATTGTCTACGCGAAGAAGCTAAATTTTTATGATATACAGCGGCAGGTGCTACGTCTATCCCTGAACCTCGCCGAAACACCCCGAAATCCCACTGATGCCATACTTGATCCAATCTTTTTGAAACCTGCGTGTGGGCTACTGAAAGAAAACAGGAGGTGAGTGCTTGCGTCTACCCCGAATCGCCCCTTTTTTCGGGTTTGCGGTACATTGTCATTTGACGAGGCTTGCTGGGGCCTTCGTTTTCGGATGAAGGAAACGCCACCCTCAGCGTCCCTTAAGGGCGCGGGGGGGATCGCAGTACCTCCTCTGAAAAATCCAGGAAACGCCTGCATATCTCGGTTTTCCAAAATCTAACTGCAGTACGAAACTACCATCGTAAATTAACCGTCCGCAGCGGTCGCTTGTGTACAATGTTAGCAGCTGAGATTGTAGCCCTTTCGATACACTACAGACTAGCGGTCCGCGATTTTCCAAACGATCCTTCTATCATCGAGTTCGGTGAGCTACAAGCTAGATTTTTGAAGCTGCTGTGCGGTCCAATTTTGAAACGCTTCAAGCACCTTTGCCTAAAGGCTGGACATGCATATACATGACCCTAGGCATTCAAATCGACAATGGCGACCAGCTGGATATGTGAGGGAAGAGCTGCGCTGAAGTTCGCGGCCCCATACACTCACATAGGCGGTGATTCGTGTTCACCGTGTGCTTGAAGCGTTTCAAAATTGGACCGCACAGCAGCTTCAAAAATCTAGCTTGTAGCTCACCGAACTCGATGACAGAAGGATCGTTTGGAAATCGCGGACCGCTAGTCTGTAGTGTATCGCAAGGGGTACAACCTCAGCTACTAACATTGTACACAAGCGACCGCTGCGGACGGTTAATTTACGATGGTAGTTTCGTACTGCAGTTAGACTTTGGATAACCGAGACATGCAGGCGTTTCCTGTTTTTTTGAAGAGGAAGCACTGCGATCCCCAGTGCGGCCTTAACAATAGCGTTCAGGTTAGGTTAGTTTGTCTGTTGACACGGAAGCACCGCCGTTGCTCAGAACGAAGGAAATCAACCCCCACCAGCTCGCGCCACGTTCGACCGCCAGGTCAGGATAGGTTGTTTGACATGGACGCGGAAGCAAGAAACATGAAGTGCCACCTAAGCACGTCTAGTTTGCTTGCTTGTCCTTCCTTTCTTAAGGTTAAGGCTGCCAGTGCCGCGACCCGAGCAAGGTCGGGTCGGTTGCAAGGACAACCGCCAACCGCCGGGAACGGAACAACACCCGGACACAACGGCGATCCCTCCCGCTCGGCATCTTCCGCAGAGGAGGTACCAGGACAACTCCGTCAAGCGAACGGAGAGAGATCCGGTAAAAGCAGCAAGCCGCCACTCCCACGACCGAAGGCGCTGAGGGACAGGGGCCCGGACATCCGACAGGCTTCAGCTTGTACGCCGACGGGAGCAGTGGCACCGGCGTCGACGACCACAACGTGGTCGTCGGCATCGTCGTCCCGGCAACCGAGCAGAGCGAAGCTGTCCCCTGGCCCAGCGGTAGCGCCGGAGGCGGCGGCGGCGGCGGTGGCGACGCTGCCGGCGGAGCGGGCACACCCGCCTTCTTTGTCGTTGGAGGCGGCAAAGCTTGCGGCGAGAAGGATGAGGGAGACTTTCGGACTGTCGCTGTTCGGGTTCGACCTCATCGTCGACCGGGCCACGGGGGAGACGTTCGTCATCGACGTCAACTACTTCCCCAGCTTCAAGGACTTGGCGGATTTTCCGCAGGTACGGCAACGGTTGCTGCACTGTTACGGTACGGTTACGTACGGTAGGCGGGAACGTCGCCTTTCGAGAGCATCGTGACTTGGTCCGTGTGGATCGGTGTTTGCTGTAGGACCAAAGGAGGAGGACCTGCCATTGTTGGAGAAAAAAACAGAAACAAACAGCCCTGAAAACAAGTGCTTGCCTTTCGCCGTTCGTTGCGATTAGCCCCGTTGCTAACGTCCGTTGCGAGATGCAGAGTCAATACCGCTGCAGCCCGCCCCTTGGGCTCACGGCAGACGTGAAAGATTCAGGGTGGACGGAAAACTCTTGTCGTCCGTTCATACGTACATCCCCACGACTCTCTTACAAGCGCTGGCATGGTGCTCTTGTTAACATGTGGCAGTGATCTTCAAACCAAATCTGGCAACGAACGTACAGTCGGGCGCTCTCGAAAAATCATGAGGCTCGTCTTTTTTTTGTTTTTGTCGCCATGAAACCGTCGCGAAGAAAAACACCTTGGCGTCGTCCTCGGTAACGTGCTTCCGAAACGCTCTGTAAACCACGTGTTGTTGCTGGTCAGGTGCTGCGACGACGACTGAAGGAGGTTGTGGCGACAGCCGGTCGCAAATCGGGAGCTGAGGGTTTACCGTCAAAGGAGCGAGCAGACTGATGATCCGGGGGTTGTGGTGTGTTGTTGACACGTGCGTCCACGGCTCAAAGCGGCTGAATAAGTTTACAAATGACCTGTCGGAGAGGAGGAATGCTGTTGTTTCTCCGTTTGAAATTGTGTTCGGTGTACAATAGTCCGTCCGTGTTTGAAATGGTTTTTCTAAGTGGTTTCTCCGTTTTTGAAATTGTTTTTGCTGCCCGAAACGTGGAGAAGGTTTACTGAAGGTTTACTGAAGGTTTACTCACCAAAACTGCTGTGGTTTCGAGTGATGGGTGGTTTACTACGAGGTAGCTGGTCACAACGTTTTTGCCACGGGTGTAGTCTACAATTGTAGTTTTTGTGTTTGGTTGCCGGCAGGCAAGGCAGCGCGGACACAAGTGATTTCGAGCAGAGCAGCGCATGTATGTCTCCCTCGTTGCTACCTGTACGAGCACAAACAGAGGTGGACTTCTGTACCCCCTTGCTTCGTGAGATTTTCGCCTTCCGAGCGAGCGAGCGAATACGCTAAATAGCTATATAATGGTGCTGGCGACATCCAGAACCTACCTCTGTCTTCGCTGCTATTAAATAGGGGTTTCCCGTTAGAGTGCTGGTTAGGGAAGGCGATGAGCGAAACAACGAGGGCGCCCGACTGACACCTATGCATATAACGGATGATCAGTCGTGGCAATGATGCAACTTTCCACGGCACGACTCGCCTTGGTCTTGTCCGCGTTTTCCCGAAACTCAACCCCCGGTAATTTCCGCCGTTCACGGTTGTGTCGTATTTCGTTCGTTGGTCGGGGTGTTGTCCTTGTACGTATGTAAATCAGTGCTTCGTGATCGTACCTAACGTCACTGTGCAGGACGGTGCGATCGGCGTTAAATATCATAGCCCCCCTTGTCTTCGTCCGACAAGCGTTCCACCTAGCCATTTTGTTGTGTCAGAATTTCTTGTTCTTTGCTTCTCGGGGTGGCCGCATCTGTCAACGCCGTCGTTCGCAGTGGTCACCTGCCTACGCTCCCAAAAATCGGACCTCGTCCACACACAAAAAAAAAGGGTGTTCGAACCGGAAGCCGCACACGCTTTCCAGGTTTGTCAGGGACCCCAGCGTGTGCAAAATTCCCAGCCAACAATCACAGCGTCGTTGTTTCGACCAAAGCAATCGAGTCCGCTTGCAGAATTAGTGAGTGTGTCCCTGGTCGACGCGGGCGTGACACACCACCTTTCCTGCTTGTCACGGAAGCAGCATGCACGGCCTTGCCGCGATTTCCGACGCACGATGCCGTCGTCGTGTGGTGCGGTCAGCAAGCTACGAGTGTCAACAAACCGCACGGCTCTACGCCCCACCAAAATGGAATTTTGATGCCATGCGCCTTGCCCAGATCCTTTCTGCGACGCACTACAGCAGTGTACTTTTTTACACAAGGACCACGAGATGGGTGAGAAACGTGGACGTCGGTTCCCCCAGACAGGGTTGCATCCGTATCAACACTACACCGCAAGCCTGACAAACTAAAAAACACTCTGTTTTGTGGTCTGCCGCCTCACACTTACCTCTTAGGCAAAAACCGAGGCGGGCTTCAGAGCAAGACCAAACCCGTCAGAAGCCTTGCACTAAAACCAACGTGCTTGATACAAACGGTGTGCCACCTCACCTTACCCTCTTGGGGGAAAAACCGAGGCGGGCTTCAGAGCAAGACCAAACCCGTCACTACACTTGCACTCAAATCAACGTGCGTGTTACGAACGGTGTGCGGCCTTACACTAACCTCTTGGGCAAAAACCGAGGCGGGCTTCAAGCAAGACAAAAACAGCACTACACGTGCACTCAAACCAACGTGCTTGTTACAAACGGTGTGCCACCTCACCTTAACCTCTTGGGGCAAAAACCGAGGCGGGCTTCAGAGCAAGATAAAAACCGGCAATACACTTACACTCAAAAAATCAACGTGCTTGCTACGAACGGTGTGCCGCGTCACCGTAAGACTCCTGGGGAGAAAGAAACCGAGGCAGCCTACAGGCCTTGCCGGATTTCCCCTGGGCCTGTGGGTTAAAAACTAACTTACCCACAGACCGGTCGTTTCCGTTTTTTTGCTGTTGCACCGCGGGGGGTGTTTCTCGTCTACGAAGCCCCCGACCTTTCTTGTCTGTCCGTCGCAAACGGGTTGCGTGGGGAACAGGGCCAAATAAATTCCCGTACCCGCGTGCCCCTTGACTCTCCACGCCGCCCCGCCCCTTCGGCTGCCTCCTACTCCTTGCCGGGGTTCACGACACCGCCGCCGCCTTTCTTGCCGAGTGTGCCGCCGACCTCTCCGTCCACGCTCCTTTTTCTGCCGCTGCTGCGGCTGCTACTGCCGCCTCCTAAGCATTCACCGGAGTTACTTGCGCTAGATGCTGCTGCTGCTGCGACCGGCGTTTCGAATGCGGGCGCCCGGTCCACCCCACTACGTCTCTCTACACCTCCCCTCAGCACGTCGCCGCCGCCTCCGCCGCGGCCGCCGCCGCCGTTTGCGCCGCTTCCTTTGACCGACGGTTCGAAGGACGGCACCCGAACCATCCCAGTACCCCACCCTCCACACCCTTCCTCCACGCCGGCGCCCCCCCCACCTCCGCCGCTACCACCCTCATCGCCGGTGCGGGGCTTGCCCCCCCAGCGCCAGAACGACAACAACGCCGTTCGATCGCCGCTTATTCTCTGCTTCGCTGCCCCTTCTGCTGCTGCTGCTGCCCCCCCCTCGGCCGCCCCTCCTTCCCGCGCGACCGTTGGCGGCGCCGCTGCCGCCGTTGGCGATCCCGGGCGAGACACCGCCAGCACCGAGGTTGACAGCACCGACATGGTGCCCGACCTCGGACGAGCGGGAGAAGCAAAGAGCGTCGTAGCAGGAGACGCCGGAGCAGCTCCCGCCGCCACCGCCGCCGCCGCCCACCCCGCTGTCGAGGAAGCATCGGCGTCGCCGCCGCCGCCCTCGTCTCCGCCGTCCTTCGGCCGACAAGACTCCCCAGCCTGATCGCTTGTTGTACCGAAGTCCGCCGCCGCTTCCCCCTGCGGGGAGCCTCCGCCGCGCGCCTGCCCCCCCGCCCCAACCCCCCGCCGTGCCCACGCCGCCTTGGCGCAGGCCAAGATAAGGGTGGCCTTTCCCGAGGGGTCGAAGTTCGAGAGCTTCGCCACGTCCATCGGCCGCATGCCCAGCGCTCGGTTCCTGTGGTTGCATTGCACAGGCATGGATACGGACGCGTCTGTGACGCAGATTTTTCGAAGACGTCTGAAAGGAAAATGTCGGTGCCCGATTCGGGTTGTGGCTGGGGGGGGGGGGTCTCCTAAAGACCACAGATAGCGCCCACACTAACGCACCGCTAGCTACCGACGAGGATGGAGGTTCTTAGTTCCTCTTGTGGGCTGCAAATGACCGCCAAAACTAAATAGAGGTTTTAACCCTATCCCCAAGGCGGCGGGCACTGGCCTTGGCTGGGTCACTTCAAACTTGCAAGGAAGTGCCAGTTGTTGCCACTGCTGAACACAAAAAAAAGAGAGTGTGGTGCGGACATGTATGTATCATGTTTCCCTAGCGATGCATCTGATTCTGTAAAACCACAGCACAATCTTCATTGCAGTCGAACAGCACGGCAAGGGTGGGTCTGGTCTAGGGTAATCTCTCTGCTTCTCTCTTCCGACTTCGCTCCTTCGTGGTGTCCAGACTGGTCATCGTAGGACGAAGGCGTGCTCGCTTTGTCACATAGACAGCGGGAGGAAAGCCCTACTGTAGGGATTGATTGTCTCACGTTTCTGCCGGGCACGCCATCTCCATGAACGGCTTCGCGTACAAATCGCAGGCCACGCGCCAGCCTACTCGGTTGTGGTCGCTATCAAACAGCAGGGCCACGTACTGTGCGGAAAAAAAAAAAAAAAAGGACGAGGGGGGCACCGCAAGAGGGAAGGGGGGGTAGGGGGGGGGGGGGGGCATTGGCCCCGAGGGGGTTGAGGTTTTCATTGGGGGGGAACCCCCGGGGAAAAAAAACGACAACAACCCAAATTTTTCCCGAGGAAGGGAAAAAAAAAAATTCTTCCTCTTCTTTTTCTTTATTAAAAAAAACAAAAACCCCCCCCCCGATAAAATGAAGGCGACCCCCCCGACAAAAAAAACGGGGTGCACCTTCCACCCCCAAAAACAAAAAAAAAAAAGTGGGAAACCATCGAAAAATCGGGGGGCCCTGGCCCCCCT